GATATGTGATTAAGGCACAGAATTTAGGACAATTGAAGTGAGTTATGCAGTTCTGCTTGCTGCCCCCTACTCTGTGCTGCTGTGGATCATGTGTGGCTGTTCCTGTTGGAGTCCTGAGCTGTGCTCATGAAGAGCCTTTGTGGGGCTCTCCCTCATCCATGCCGTGAGAAGGAAATGAGCTGCAGTTGCGTTCTGTGTCTCTCTTTACTCTGTCACCCAAACCTCCGGTGCTTGGATACTCATGGCCAAGATAGAATCTGTGCAAGGATGGAAATGAACAAACCCATCAATCGAGAAGAATCAGAAGGATCTGAAAATACTGCTTTTATATTTTACATGCTTAAATATATATATGTCTGTAGACTCCAGGTGCATTAACATTTAGTAAGAGTTCTTTATTTCCAGTGTATATTAAGAAGTGCAAATGAACCTTTGTTGCTGTCTTTTTAGGAAAAAAAATATTATTTAATATGATACAGATAGAGGGGTTTTTTTTTGCCATAAAACATACCTTAAACTAGTGTGTGCAATCCAGAATTAGAAAAACCCAAAATTTCCATGATCTTTTAATTTGAAAAAGAGAAGCTCAGATTATTACCTGGGTGAATATTCCTGCTTCTGGGAAATGGTTTGGAGATGTAGTTTCTTTTGTGCTTGGAGTGACACCAAAATGTACCTGCTGTATTGAACAATTTAGATTGCAACAGGATCGTTAGGGACATTGATCTGTCCTCTACATCAGGTAATACCAGAATTCAACTCTGCTTCACTCTTGGACAGGGTCTAAAAGCCTGAGTGTGCTGAATTTCATGTAAGAAATGTAAATTTTTCAGAACAGCTGAGGACATATTTATTTAACAGAGAGGTTTTGACCTTTCTTCTCAATTAACTGCATTAACATGGTAGATAATTGCAATGACAGGTGCACTGACAGGCTTTGAAGGTTTAAGTGGACTATTAAAAAATTCAGTGGAACGTTTTATAACCATTGCCATTCCTTGTTTTGCTATACTGTTTGATAAAGAAAATAAATCCATAGTTCTTACGCTTTGCTAGGCTTGTGGCACTTTGCTCTGATACTCTTTTTGATGGTTTTGTGCTGTAAAATTGCCAAAGAGCTAATTTTTCTTCTTTTCACAACATAGAGTTGATCTTGACCTGCAGATTATTAAATGTGTTTATTAAAGCTGGCATTTCAGAAGAGAGGAATTCTACTTTTGGCTCAGGGGATAAGAAGGTATCTTAACTTTTTCATCAAGTCTTATCAGTTTCTGCTGTTTTAATAGCCCTTTTTTAAAACAATTTTTCATCGCTTTATGAAATTAATGCATTCATTAATTTACATTTTAAATCATAACTGGAATGTTGTTTTTAACATGCCTAAGGACTGAATTTTCCATATAATGTAAATTGAGCACTGCTTAACAGAAGTGCCTTACATGTGAACATGAGTCTTAAAGAAGTCTCATATAATACATATTTGTGGTTATTACTTAAACAGTGTTTTGTTTTTCTTCTACTATAGATTTCTATCTGTGTTAGAATTCTAGTTAGCTATTGACTATAATTGGCAGCAATGGCTTGTGCTTTACAATTAAAAGCACTCAGCTGCAAGATGATGATTGGGGTCACACTCATTACAATCAGTATCTTCCAGTGTGCTCAGAAAGCAGTTTACCAAAATGATGTTGAGTATTTACGAGTACAGAAAACTTTGCTTATTGATGTGATAGCTGCTTGTGCATTTGACCTCCTGCCTTCGATTCTAAGTAAGAAGCCACTCCAAGCCCCCTTGGAAAGGAGGGTTGGCCAAAATCCTGTTCTGAAATTAAGTTGAATTTTTTCATCTACATGTTAAAGTTCAATATGGTAATATTTTTCAAGACCTTCTGACTTTCTTAAGTTTGTAACTAGATGTGCAGTAAGTTGACTTTTCTATGTTGAAGTTATTATTATGGCTACCTCTATGATTGTTTCTGCTACAGGTAAGAGCATTCT